ATATAGTAGTCAGTGGTGGCATTTTGGTCCATTGTAACCAAGAACGAATATGACTGACCCACATGAATATCCATGCTTGCATAGTTTTGCTGAACCGTATATGAGCCCTCAGTCTCCACAAGAATCAAGTTGTGATTTTGTATCCTAAAATTCAAGCTAGTGGAAATACCAACATTGTGCACCCGTAGTCTATATGTTTCCCTGTTACACACAGAATAATAAACAGATGATAATCATCAAGCATGTTAAAAAAGAATTGCATATGCATTTTATCAGATTCATTTTTAATTTAAATGCATCATATAATCACAGCGTAAATTATACATTCATTCAAATTATTTCTTATTTTACAGCACAAAAATATAAGCCCTCCTAGTTTTATGTGAGCTCTAATTGTCCCAAAGACTGGTTTTTTCATTTTGGAAAGTAAACATTATAAAGATAAATGAACATCCTAATCACTACTGATTTGAAGCGCAAATCTATGGAGAAAACATTGACATCTTAGACATATTTTGACATAGACTGTGGGTAACATCCCCTGGTATGAGTTGAGATGTGCCTAACAATTAAACGGACAGAAGAATAAACAAAGACATAATTGTAGAGTAAATTACTCATGTGCCTTCCACACACCAAAAAATACATACACACACACACACACCCACAAGCCCAAATAGAGTAGATTTTGAGACTCTAAGCTAAAATCTCAGCAAATGAAGAAAAGAATAACAAGCCCATGAAATGAATTTAAATGGGCTTATGGGTGCTTTGAATTCCCCTCATAAAAGCCTAGCCAGTTATTTACCCTTGCCTAGCAACTACTAGTAAAGAATTTTCATTAGTTGCATCTCGCATCAACCAAATACCTTCTTGAGCTGCCAATGTTATTTAGCAGTATTCCTCCTCCCAGTCTACAATGTTACAGGTGGCTTGCACCAAATATGTCTCTATATCTAGTTGATAAAGGGTGGTAGGAATTTTCAGAACCTTGTTCTACAACATACCTTGTGTTTTTCTCAGAAGTTATTTTCTTCTCTCTTTTCCCTTTTTTTTGGGGGGGGGGGTGGTTGGGGAGGGGGCCGCTCTTGGATCGACCAGAAAAATTCTCTTCCCCCCCCCCCCGCCAGAAAGGACAGAAACTCTATTTCAGAAACTCCTAAAGTTTTATCAGATTCTGCGGTCTATCTTTAGTCATATTTGAATTCTGCTCAGAATCAATTATCTTTGCTTGAAAGGGTTTTCCTTGGAATTATCCTAATCCATCCTAGCATAATACGGGTTGTTCCTTTCAAACTAGAGTATGCTTAGGACAGGGATAAATCTGCTACTTGCTGATCCTGTTTTTAGGAGCTACTGAATTTCTTGGCCCCCTCATTAAAGGGTAAAGTGATAGGAAGAGGTTTAAAGGAAATAAATACAAAATCAAAGGCATATAAAATATGGAAGGGAAGTTGAAACAGAATGGTATGGAATGAGTATATTGTAACAGTATAAAGCCATTAAACAAGACAGATAATATGCATGTCCAAAATTCTTACCTGGTTCAACATTTATTATCTGGTAAGAAATGCCACGAGGGACAAGTGTGTCATCATAGCGGTAAGGACCTAGACCATTAATAAGCACGCCATCAGGGATTCCAAGGTCATGTCCATCTTCTACATCTTTCCTGAGCGCCTGAATAAAAACAAGCATTGGTCAACACCTCTGAATGAACTGACATAATTACAAAAATTAACAACAGAAAGCAGTGAGACCTCGTGACTTTTGGTGTACCAATCACTCAGAAGTATTGTAATATCACCATCTGGCAATCCAAAGGGAACAGGAATAACAGGTCGGTTGTTTATGATAATTCCACCATATCCACCTGCAGCTCTTTGAAAGTTTAGGGAAGGGAAGTAAAAAAAGCTCCCTATCTGATCTTTGACTTGAAACTCATATGTCCAATTCCAGCCAGCAGGAATTGGACAGTTAGTTCCAGAAACTCCGTCTTGCCATGAGTTTCTCCTGTGTTGTAAGCCATTCCTGCATTTAACTATTCAGCATAATCACTATCATCATCATCTTTACTAATTATCATCATCATTCTTGACAGAATACATTTGTGTTACCATGTCAGGAGTAATGGCTCATCAAGGTCATTCTTGACATTGACAACAACGTTCCAGTTTGTGGTGACATTCACTACTGGTCCAGGAAACTGCCCATTGATCCCAATTACCTGAAATTAAGATTTCAGATTAGAACTAGAGAAACGAAAGCTTACAACTGCTTACCCAAAAAAAAAAAAAAAAACCTCAAACTTCAAATTTTTCGAAGAACTCATAATACACAAGAAGGTGGCTCTGCACAGAAGTGAATTATGCAACTTGGAAACCCTCAAAGCAATTGTGAGAGGTCTATGTAATAAATCTCGTGACAATTTCTCCCTTGTGAAAAATTTTCATTATTAATCAGTAAACAGTTGACTATAACAAAATCCAATAAAATTTCTCACTCGTGTTAAAAAATGAATTCTACAACTTGAAACCTCATAGGAGTGTTCCTTCCTGTCAATTATGTAATACATTCCCATGGACAGAACGGAATCTGTTTGATTACATCATCATGGAATTCCATAATCACAACTAAATGCAAATTGAACTCAGAAACTCGTAATTCATTACAATGAATTTGTCATTTGGTTAAAATCCCAAGCTCAATTGCACCGAATCGAATGAACCAAGCCGACATTCAGCATGAAGCAGTAATATAAAGTGTCGATTTCGCTCTAAAACATAGTAGTAAGAGTTTGAGAAGCAGAAGCGAAAGAGAAACTACACCATACTTGTAAAAGTAACTAGGAGAACTGCCAAGAGAAATGGGAAGAAAAGCAAACCTTTTGTTTAACTCCAAGAGGGGAAGCTGCAATGTAGGAGACAGTCCAATCGTAGAAAACGAAAGGGTCTCCAGCAAAAGCAACGTGTAAGAAGCACAGAAGGGTTGTGAAAAACCAAGAAGATAGTACAGGTAATGGCATCGGATTTCTCCGTTTATGTCTTCCTGGTATCCTTTTCTCAAGTTTCTGTGCACAGAGAAAGAGGAAGGGGGGGGGGGGGGGGGGAGAGAGAGAGAGAGATCCCAAGATGAAACAAAGTTGGCAGTGTGAAAACTGAAACGCACATGTGCTAGAGAGTTCTCTTCTGCAAATTGCTTCTGCCGCTCTGTTCAGCAATGGGCCCCTCTGTTTTCACACACCCGCCGAGGATGGCGGGCCTCATCTTGTCTTTAATTACTCTGTTGATCATTGCTAAAGCTCGTTGCTTTATAATCTGTCTTGTTCTTTTCATTTTAACCAACATAATCTGTCTTGTTTCATCCATGAATAAACGAAATACTATATTAAGTAAAAGCAATCATTCCTCTTGATCACATATATTCATAACACAAAAATGAAAGCCCAGGTGATAAAACAGATGCCATTTCCCTATACCAACAGTAACACAGTGATCCGTTTGTACTTTGAACTAAGCTAATACACATCCATTCTTCATAGAAGATGCTGTATAACAAAAGCAACTCATTGCTACAATTTACGCGTGTAATCTATTTTACTGGATGAGATGATGGATCTGATCATTGACAATTTGCGGTGTGTGTTTTGCTTTTTATGGGGGAGGTGGTGTCCCCACTTGTTTTGAATGAACTGTTTAAAATTTAAATGCATCTTTAAAGGAACTCCGATTGCTATCATAGTCAAAAGAGAATGGGAAGAAAAGAAGAAGAAAAGAAAAGAAAATCAGGTTTAGGGTGGCGTGGTCGCCGATATGGTTCAGGTCTTCAACTATTGAGTTCGCATCCAGCTCATTCTCTGAATAAAAAATTTGAGTGAATTATAAATATTTATAACTTATATTATTGCTCATCCTCTCTCATCCCCTGCTGGCCGATTTCTCACCCCATAGCTATTAGCTAGGTTTCTTGCTGTTCCTTCCAATCCAGCTTTTTCCCATTGTCCATGTTTTCACTTGCAGAAATCATGTGTTTAGGTCTAAGTAAGTCACATTTTTAAGTATAAAAGACAAATTGTAAATAATCCCATTTTTGGACTTGTAGATTGGAGATATTTCGCTTGTGATAATTACTATTATTTGTAAATACTTGAAGATCTTGGAAGCTCACCTGTATATAACATGAACAGTATATAAACCTAGTCTCAAATGCAAGAACCATAATCACAACGTCTAAAATACTACTACCGTTCTAATTATAAGAGCTAATTGATTAATTTGAAGAGATTAATAAAAGAAGTTAAATTAGTTATTTGTAACAAATATGTGTTGTCTTTCTTAAAATATCATTGCTAATATAGTAGATTGGCTAAAACTACTATTAGTAGAAAGACTACTTTGGGGAAAAAAATATATAAATATAAGAGACGAAATAGATTTGAATCTTATATTTAGAATCAAAATAAAAGTCAAACAAGATCTTATATTAATCATAGAAAAAGATGATTACTGATTTAGATTTGTAAATATCAGTACTTTTGAGCTTTAAATACCTGAATATCGATAGAGGTTTAACCCAATCTGGTTGAGAATCACCCACAATTTAATTTACATGTTAAAACTCCATGGTCACTTGCAACTTATGCCTTGTCGCGTCCTTGTTAAAGCTGTTTAAAAAGATTTTAAAAACAAATACAATAACCGATCCTAATTTGGAAAGAAAAACAAGTGGTCTGAACAAAAAAGGCCATCATATGTACAAACACCTCTCTCAGTAAATTTTCCCTCCTTATTTCTCATAAAATTCTCTTTACAAACAGAAGTTTAATGACTAAATTATGCAGTTTAAAGAATAAATAAAATTAATTAAAAATAATAAATATATAAGAAATAAAATTTTTAATTAATATAATATATAAAATTAATATTTTTGTTTTTTTATTTTTGTAAAAAGATAAAAAGAAAACAACTCTGTTGCTCCACTTCGCGGCTGCCTCCCCCTTTCCTCTTTACGCTCTAAACCCCTAAACCCCCCAAATTTCTGATCCTATTTCCTAATTCGTCTGTCTCTCCAAGCTCTTCGGCATACGCATCGAACTTTGCTGCTGCTCGTGACCTCGTCTCCTTGCCGCTGCTGTCGTTCCTCTCAGCTAATATTTTCTGGTATTCTGGCCTTTTCTTCCATTCTGGCTTGTAATTTTGTATCGAATGAGTTTTGCTGTCTTGCATATTTGGAATTGAATTCTAAGATATCGTGATCTCTTTATAATGGCCAGATACTCTAAGTAAGAACTTTAGATATTACTGGACCTTAATCATATTCTGGCCTATAGTTATCAGTATTGCCATGATTATACTCTGATAATGCTGTTATGTGGTCCTCTTTTATATTCTTTCTACGAGCATGCAATGTTGATGTTTGCAGTCACCATAAAGTATGCATTTTTCCCGTAATTTATCATTGTTTTTAGTGCTGTTATTCTAGCGTTTTGTTTGGAGTTGTTCCAGAGTCCTTGGACTGATGTCTCAGAGCAATTTGACGTTTTCTCGAAGAGTGCCTCAAATGTCACAGGGCTTCCTGGCAGCTGCTTGGTTTTACTAGTTTTGTTATGAATTAGATTTTTTTTTCTTTCAGGTTTTTGAAGTTTGTTAGCTGTATCAAATATAACACTTTTGAGTTGATTTGGAAAGCCCTGTCTTAGCGAAAAGTTCTGCAGAATCGTCAAAAGCGAAAAGTTTTGCAAAATTGTCCCCGAAAAAAAAAAAGGGGCGTTCTTTCCTTCCTTTGTTGGCTATTCTCCTCCATCCATACATGAACTTACCCACTCTCTGGGGTTTATTGGTCAAAGCTCCAAACACAAGGGTTTTCTGTTTCTTTTTTTTTTTTTGAATCCCTGGTGCTAGATTTAATTCTATTTGTGGTTTTTAGTCTTCGAAAGCAACTTCTGATGCCCATTTGCAGGGTTTAAGGGGAGGTAGTGAAATGGCCAGCTATCTCTGGAGGAAGTATTCGGACTATTTGTACACAAAGTGGGAGAGAACCATTCTCTGGGACATGATCGAGCCATACAGAAGACCCAAATCCTTCACTCCTTTGGTGACCATTTACATTGCAGCTTTCTACACTGGAGTCATTGGGGCTGCTATCACTGAGCAACGCTACAAGGTTCTATTCTCTTTCCAATATAATTTTGGGCAGAGGGTTTTGTTTTAACCCAAATTTACCTTCTTTTTTTGTGTGTAGTCTTTTGCTCAGCAATGCTGTGGTTTTGTTGATACTGTTCGGTCATCACGAGAAAAGTGCTAATAAAGTTTGGCTGTTACGAAGAACTATGGGAAATAATAAGTTTTGGTGCTTAAATATGCTGGTACATTGAAGTTAAAATCATTGTTGTAATCATCACGCGTGTGGATTATATAGCACGAGTGTTCAACAATCAGTCTTCTAATGCACATTGCTTTGAATTCCACTCTTATAGCATAAGCTTCATATCCTGCTTTGGCTTGTCTGGTATTGTTGGTTTATTTCTATCTTTATTCTTTGATAAAAAGTGGTTTTTTAGTACCCTTGTGTTTATCTCCTCGGAACTGCTGGCTCAAGGGAAGATGGTTTGGTTTCACTATTGCAAACAACATAAACCTCTAGCACTGTGCTGTTTTTGCTGGATTATGGTGTCAATCATTAGAACAGAATGCATGGTTTTCTAGGAATTTTCTTCTTTAGTGGAGGGTTTTTTTTTTTTCTGTCCTCAATATGCATTTCAGCAAATGGCTCCCCCCCCCCCCCGGTTATATCCTTGTGAGCTACATGGGATTGGCAAGTTTTTTTGAGTTAATGATTATAGTTTTTACTTGCTTGATGGTTGTCTTCCAATGTCCATTGATGTGTTAATTTCCTTTCTCATTAGCAAATTCTCGTGCCGAGATGCGATCTGAAAGTGATCATGTTTTACTTTTCCATTCATGGCAGCAGATAAGTTGTCTGATAATCTGCCTTTTAATGATAAACATTATAATATATAGCTTACAATGATAAACATTTTTGGTCCGAAAAACTCGCTTAAGCATTTATGATAAAATTGTGGCAATGGTTATCATTTTGGATGGAAAATCATATGCTTGGGTTAGCATTTGCGTATTGTTTAATGCTTGTTAGTATATCATGGAAGCTTATTCTAATTACTGAGTAAATTAAGAAGTGATATTGTCACATCACAGGAAAAATACTGGGAAGAGCATCCCGGGGAAGCTGTGCCTCTCATGAAACCACAATTTTATGGCGGTCCATGGAGGATAATGAGGGGAGAGGTTCCTCCAACTGGGTGAAAATCTCTGAAGGCTTGTTTCGTACCTTTTTTCCTATCTACCTCGTGTTCCTGCTGTTGTATAAAATTACTCAGTTTTGCTGTTTTCTAGGCACTGTTTAGAAGACTCTTTTCATAGTATAATATCAATATAAAGTTACTTAGGCGTTTATTGGTTATGACTGGATTTTTCAATCAAAATGTGGTTTATAATGTGACTATTATGATACAATCAGTCATATATTACGGAAATAAGAAAAAAGGTTCAGTGATTAAAGGAATTGATAAATTGGAAATGTACAGTGTAAACCATGATTTTTGCTTGTATATTCCTTTGTATTTATTACAAGGGATTTCCAATATTTTGATGGATCTTAAGAAAAGGTTAGTGTTGTTGAATTTGTCCAAAGATATCTTAAGATTTTGATTATGCACAACTTTTATTCACAATTTATAAGATTAACCACGCATTATGATTTAGAAGGACAAAAGTGAATAGCATATAAGATAATGTAACATGACACAGTATATTTTGTACGAAAAAAGTCTTCTGACAAAATTTTATGATAAGGATTCAAAGAAAGTACCTATTTTATAGGTGCTCTGTATTACCTTACATGTTTAGCATATTGATATTGATTCACTAATCACTTATTCAAACATGTACTGCATCTACCTTACCCCTCATTTACAAGCTTCTAGTGATGTTCCAAATTTTACAAATTTCTTAATTCTGTTTATGGAGTAAATAAAGTGCCAAGCTTCGGTATTTACAATGACAGTTTGCAACAACCCATGCCCCCTGCCTATAAGAAGAGGACAGGTTGAAAACAATAGTTATTTCAATACTGCATTACAGCTTCTGATCTGCTGGTCTGTAAGTCTGTAACCTTGTGCTTTTTTCCCTTTTAATAAAATATGTAACCTTATACTGCCTAATCAAGGTCATCAGACTCTAAAAACGACTTACTAAATAAATTAATAAAATTTATTAAGTTAATTGTTTATAATAAATAAATATTATTTTTTTATAATATTGTTAATTAAAATTACCATTTGATAAAACTTTTGATATTTATAATTACTATAAAAAATTATTTAAAAAAATAAATAAATATAAAAGACTGAATTAGAATCTTATATGTAAAACCAAATTAAAAATTAAACTAGTACTTATACTAATTCTCATCCTCCAGCACGAGATGTTATATACCCAGCACCATATGTTATATAGAACTAAATACATATAAATATTAGCTCGGATGGGAGGTTCCCTTCCAAACAGCGGACCGATAAAATCCTTCGATGACAAGTCAGTAATCTCAAACTTGAATTCGACAGGGCAGTGAAAGAAAAAATGTTTTCTCTACCCTTCCTCGTACTTGCAGAAGACGCAAGCTCGATGCAAGCGTTGTCTGTTCTCTCTAATGCAATACTGTCCTCTGCCAGTCTGCCTAACCAACCACTTGAATTGTGGTGGTGTTTGTATTCTCTCATTGGAGCTCCCATGGGGTGTTTGTTTGGATATGTTTACTTATAATACGGGTTGTTTTAAGAATATCATTGGCTGTTCCTCTTGTCCTCCGATGATGAATGTCCTCTACCAATAGACGCATGCTACCCAATACGTATAACATTGTACTCCTCCGGTCTTTAATATAGAATCCAATTTTTAAATTGGTTTTGATTCTAAATATAATACTCATTTCTCATATTTATTAATTTTCTCTAAATTACCTTTATAAATACTTTTTTAACCATAATCAAGTAGAAGAAAAAGAGAAGATATTAAAAAAAATGATTATAGTGTTTTGAAAAAAATACGTGACTTTTCTTATAATTAATTAACTTACCTAACTTCTTTAATCTAATAAAATTAATTAAATAAGTTTTATATTAAGTACCGGAAAAGTACTATTCCATCATTCAAACATATAAAAGAAAAATAACGGTCAAGCATTTTGCAAAACCTTATATGTTCGAACCCCAGGAAGAATCTAACTCTTGTATTAACCATGTCTTATTATTTCCATGTACTAATTTTTATGATTATCGTCTGTGATATGACTCGAGCATTGACATTCGAATAAAACAATTCACACTAACAAAACAGAACCGGAACGCTAGTCAATGGAAAACAAAATTTATATTTGAAATTAAAAAGGTTTGCATTCGTTCTAAACCAGTTAAAACGAAATTATTAATTTGAAGGTGGAAATCGATATGTTAGGCTTAGCATTATCTAACAAGGAAGACATTAGCGAAGTTAAAATCTTGATACCAGACGGCCATCATCCTTCAATGGATCTGAAGTTACAGAACCCAAAAGAAACAGAAAATATAAGAAAATAACGACAACAAAAGATTGGAAAAAGCTTCCAGCTTGGAAGAGAGAATAATCATATGGAGGTGCTCAGAGAATAGTTGAATGGAAGAGAAAGTTTTTCCACACGAAAAAGATCAGATTAACGAGATTATTTGATCTCATCATCATCGCACCTTCAAGTCGACTTCAGCATGAACAAGAAAACAAGAAACACAGACCGCCATCAAAGCTACAGACAGAGAAATTGAAACGGAACAATAAACCTATCGCATTTAGGGTTTCCTGCTTTACTCATCAATTCTCAGGCCTATATTTATAGCCACCGAACAGATTCTTATTGGGCTTCGTCCTTTGAACTAATTGGGCTTCCCGGTCTGCCTTCAAAAAAAATAAGACCGAAAGAAAGAAACTAGAAAGAAAAAAAGTAACAGCATTTTTATTTAATTTCAATGCAATTAAATATTTCAATTTTGAATGAATGATTTTATAAAATAAAATTATTTTACAGTCGAATTAAATATTTTAATCAAAAAATATGGAACACTGGAACTAAAAAATTATATGAACTGTCCCGAAATATTGATTTTATTCCATTTCATATTTAACTTTAAAAAAGGACCTAAATTTAGTTAGTGAATATACCTTTTTCTTAATAAATAATTAACTTATTTTTTTAAGGGAGAATCCCAATTAAATCAGCTGAAATACCTAAATTCAGATTTAGGCTTGTATTTTTAGCAAATTCCTAATTAGGCCATAAGACCTAATTAGGGATTTTTAAATGTTGTTAAATAACCAGAATGCCCTTCTTCAATTAAAAAGAAAATTTGACCTCATCTCTTATGATTTTTTTTAGACCAAAAAACTTGTAAGTAATTTTACGATGTTTGAAATTTGTATATATAACTTACACTATTAAAAATATTTTAATAAAACATGTTAAATTACAAATATAAGTAAAATTATAAATATAAGTAAAGTTTAAATAAATTTTTTTATTTTCAGTTTTTATAATTTACATTAGTTTTATTTATTTAGACAATATTGGATCTAATTGAAAATGTAAATGATTACGATTTAATATTACATTTTTATTATAATTAAAATATTTTAAAATTTTAAAATAAATATTTACAACCTGAAAAAAATATTTATTTAAAGATTACTTATATTATAATTTGAAATGTTTTATGAAAATATTTTGAAGATTTTAGTTATATTACAAAATTTCAAACACTAAAAAATTATTTATATTTTTTTGTCTAAATATTAATAATAAGAGATGATGAACCATTTTAGAGGGATAAAATAATCAATTTTGATTTTTAACTAAAGAGGGGCATTATAGTTATTTAACAATATTCAACAATTCCTAATTAGGTTTTATGTCCTGATTAAGAATTTGTTAAAAGTGTAGGCTTCAATTTAAATTTAAGTATTTCAGCAGGATTTAATTAGGATTTTCCTTTTTTTTTAATACCTAAAATTCTCAATTTCTTATACTGAAAATTGGAAACAGTACAATTAAAATTTTTTTTTTTTCATGTTCTGTCTGAAAATTGGAATTGCAAGAAGTTTCACGGTTTCTTCTTCTTGGAAAATAAATAAAGTAAAGAAACGTAGACTTTTTGACCTCCTTTTTGTTGCCGGGCTTTTAAATATGAAAACCTCCTAAAAAGCAATAATGGAGCAAAAGCAAACAAAATCTGAAAGTAAAGCATCTTTCTTCTCAAGGAACCCAACCAAAAACCCTTCCAAGCAATATTTTTCTCTCTAGCTCTGCAACCCCAAACCCCGATCGCCGACATTCTGTTCCTCCATGGCAGAGTATATATCTTCCTCTCTCTGAGATTTCTTGCTTTACAATCAGCATTTTTTCTTTTTATATCAATTGTCTTTACGTTTTAATTCATTCTAAATCCCTTGTTTCTCTGTAATCTCGTGTTTTCCAGATCCGAGCAGTACCCAAAGGAGTATTACAACACGGAAGCCGTTCAAAGAGTCTCATCTGATTCTTACTCTTCATCCACAACCAGCGTTCACGTTACTGCTCTCGATGGCCTTGTCAATGTCAATTCCCTTTTTACGATCGCTGTCTTCGTGGGTCTCTCTCTTACAACCCCCGGTCAGCGAAGTCTTGAGAATCGGTCCACCTGCGACGCCGGAATCGACGTCGCCAAGAAGCTTCTCGTCTTCGAGGTTGTCTCTTTCAGCTTCTTCCTCTTCTCGTCGTTGGTCGCTCAGGGCCTGAAGCTCGCCATCAACTTGCTTAATAGCAAAGAAGTCGATGAGGCTTTCAGAGTACACATCAATCTCAAGGTTTTGAGGTTCGGGATGATGGGCTCCGCCATTGGATCCGTAATGGGTTGCTTGTTTCTGATGCTTTCGATGGTCAATGTGATCGAGATTCGGTTAGGGATGCTGTCCTGCGGTAGCAAATCTGCTACTCATGCCGTTGCAGCTTTGGTGATACTGGTTTCTTCTGCTCTTTTGGTCTATATTTCCACTGCTATATATGCTTTTACGCACTAAGTTAACTCGGAAATAGCTAATTTTTTCTATGCATTATTATGAAAAGCCCTGGCTTTTGCTTGATGATGTAGAATTGAAACAGTGCTGGGTTGTGTTTTTATGTCCAATCCATGATTCTTCTTCTTCTTGGGAGTTACTGTCCTCTCCAGGGAGATATTGTTCAATTTTCAGTTTTTGAATTAGCAACAACTAGCATTATTCGTTCACTTTTCTGTGAATTTGGTATTGATTGCTTGCGTGAGTAGTTAACAAATGCGCTACGTTTGGATGGTTGAAAATTAGAGAGAAAAGAATGTTTGGAGGAAAAACTCCCAATTTTAAGATGTCACTCGTTTCTGAATCTTCCACCAAATTCTCAAGGTCATTAAGTCCTTCACCACATTACCTATGGTCAAGGAAGTATTGTTCACTCACTGACTCGTTGGCCAACACAGATCCCACTCGAAGTTGTTGGGTAAGTAGTGTGCGAGTAATGATTCTTTCTCTCCTTGATCTCTGTTTTACGCACAGAATTTATGTGATTCATCAACGAGGACAATTTCATTTGACGAGTTCTTGGAGGAGGAGAGGAAGACCCGGGCGGGGAAGAAAGCCTAGTAGTGAAGGTGGGATTCTAATTAGGGGTAAAATGGACCACTTAGGCCCAGTGGTCAAACTCAAATTATCAACTTATCATTTGGCAAAGATATGGGTCTTTGAAAAGATGGACTGAGGGAGTGTTTGGATAAAAACCAAACCATGGTTTCAGAAGTGTTTTTACAGATTACAAAGTAAATATGTGGAGGAGGTTATCTCGTTTTGCGGAAAAGTGCTTCTGAAACCACGGTTTTAGAGCACCCAAACAGAGCCTAAACCAATAAGAGTTATTCTATTTGGTAAGGAGTCAGCTTATAACCTATAAGATTGTGAGTTCGAATAAGCCTATCTAAACTTTCTTGTAACCAAAAACAAAAAAAACAAAAAAAGATGGACTTAATTTAATTAAAAGTTATTAAACGACCTACTAACAAAAATGATTGACATGACTTAATAGATGCCTATTAGAAATATCTTTTTTCTTTAAAACAATGGTTACGGAATTCTCTCTGCTCTTCTTTATTAGAGACAAATAACTAATTCAGATTTCAGAACGAGGGACAAAATACAATTAAAATCAATAAATATGCTACAAATATATTTAAAAAATATTTTGATTTGATAATTGACCGTAGACTTTTAATAATTGATAATAAATACTTTTTTTTAAATAAGGATAAAAAATTTATTAGTACTCTCGACAAGAGGTTTTTGTTTATTATAAATAAGACGACAAGAACCTTCTTTAGATTCTCTTATAGCTCAGCCTTATTCAAATAGACTTCGATTTATTACTCGGTTCTTCTTTCTTTTTTTTTTGGTTTAGTACTTGGTTCTTCTATTAAATAGGCCAAGCCTATCTTACGGGGAAATTAAAAAACAAAAAAGGCTAAGCCTAAAACAGGCTGAGCCATGTGGGAAAAGAAAGTTCCATGTCCACTTGCTATCTAAGCTATGATTAACTTTAATGTTGTGCAACCAACGAGAGCCCGTGCAGTTGGTAAAAGAGTCGGCTTATAACCTATAAGATTATGAGTTTGGATTTCGCTGTTGATGTGAGAACTTTATTGGTGGACGATCTATAAGTATCTCTATAAACGCTTTTTGAAACTAAAGGCATGCCCTATCCCTCGTAGGTTCTCGAGACCTAACTCACCTAAAATTTTTTTGTACTTAAAAAACCTTCAGTGTTGTGCTAAAAAGGAGAAAAATAAAAAGGAAAAACAAAGTCAATAGCGGGCTATAGACAATGCTTTCGTTAGTAACGTGTATGCCTAGATTACTGTAACCGTTGTTTTATATGGTTCATGAATTCACACACACATTTGTGTTCCTAGAATACTGTTAAAATTAATATGATTCATGTATCCCAGTTTAGTGTATATAAAAGTGTGCGTGATTTATGTGTTAAGTATTTAACATGGGATCATAGATTATCTGTTCAAGAGTTAATATATATATATATATATAAATATACTACCTCTGGTCCTTAATATAAGGCCCTGTTTGACTTTTATTTTGGTCCTAAATATAATACTTTAATCCACTTTGTCTCTCATATTTATTCAATTTTTTCAAGATAGTCCTTCTAATAATTATAATTCCAGTCAATACACTTGATTAGCGAGAATATTTTAGAAAAGACAACTTTAGGACAAATAACTAACTCAACTTACTTCCTTAATCTCTTCAAATTAGTCAATTGGATCTTATAATTGGGATCGGAGGTAGTAAATATAAGACCCCAATCCACTTTGTCTCTAATATTTATTTAATTTTTTCAAGATAGTCCTTCTAATAATTATAATTCTAGTTAATACACTTAATTAGCAAGAATATTTTAAAAAAGACAACTTTAGGACAAATAACTAACTCAACTTACTTCTTTAATTTCGTCAAATTAGTCAACTAGATCTTATAATTAGGATTCGGAGGGAGGTAGTATTTATTAGCCTTTCAATAATGTTTAGTTCTCAAATATGGGGGGGGACATGGAGAGAGGAGCTTAGGAGAAAGAATTAGACTCTTACGAGAGAATGTTGACTGAAAGAGACTCTGTTGAAACAGAAAAAGCAAGAGATTTAAGCTGTGTTTGGATAGAAACCAAACCATGATTTCAGAAGTGCTTTTACGGATTTTGAAGTAAATATGTGGAGGAGATTATCTCGTTTTGCAGAAAAATGCTTCTGAAACCACGGTTTGGAGATACCCAAACAGGCCCTTATTCTTTAAAGAATCAGTTTAGGCAGAAGGACGCGGGCTTCGGGTAGTATAAGACTCGAATGACCACTAAAGCAACTGAACTTAGTAACTGAACTCACGACTAAAGTAACTGAACTTACAACAGAAGTTCGAGTTCTGCGAAGTCTTGTCAAAACATGACAACTTGTGTGGGAAGTATGACGTGCGTGGCCAACTGAAAAAGAAAAACTATTAGTGCTATATATTACTCCAATTTTTAATATAAAAATTAGTTAATTAATTTGAATAATTTAAAGAAGTTTGTTAAATTAATTATCTGTGATAAATATATGTTGCTTTTTTAAAATATTCTTATTAATTATGTGTATTAGCTAAAGCTACAATTTGATGAAATATTTAACATATCAACTACCACAAGGACTATCATAAAAAAAAACAGATAAATATGAGAGATAAAGCGGATTGAAGTATTATATTTAAAATCAAATTAAAAGTTAAACAAACTCTTATATTCAGAAACGGTGGTAGTATTTCCCTAAAAGATCATGTCGGTATGCTTGTGGAAGAACTATGTGAAAGTTGAGTTGTCTTCTCTCTGTTTTCTTTCATTAAGCAACGGTTGTGATAGCTTTCGGTTTTTTTTTTTTTTTGTTTACTCTCTCTGACTTTTATTTTCGGTACATGTTATTCTTATTTGATCAATGCACAGATTTTCCCTAGTTTTAACTTCTGATTTCTTATGGACTTTATCTATTGACTTCCTTGAAATCTACAATTTCAGGGGACAAATTATGTTGGGAAAAAGACAGTAAAATACTCTCAAAATTACTAAATGATAAATTAGGGTAGGTAAATTTTAAAATCCCAATTCAGACTCTAGGTACTATTTTGGAATTTTCAAATCTTGTAAAATGACAATATTGTCCTTACTGTTGGTGACTACTCCCATATAGTTATTGACTACTTTTGTTTTCAAAGTTCTGATGAATATTTTTATATAGCTATTGACTATACAAGAGTAGTAAATCGCATTATTAGAGTAGTCAATAGCTTATCAAGAGTAGTCATCAGAATTTAAAAATAAATGTAGTTAATAGCTAAAAAAGAGTAGTCAATATATAAGAAAGAGTAATCACCGGAGCTCCGTTGACTAGTTACTGAAGTTCCGGTAACATGTCATCAAGGTTTAAAAATAAATGTAGTCAATAGTTAAAAAAAAGTAGTCAATATATAAGAAAGAGTAATCATCGGAACTCCAACAACCGGTCATTGGAACTCCGGTAACCGGTTGCCGGAGCTCCAGTGGTTGGTTGCCGGCAGGGTCGCCCGGCATCGGAGCTCCGGCAGCCGGAATTGCTGATGTGGCAGTATTTAAAAAAAGTAAATGGCATTTTTGTAGTTTTATAAGATTTGAAAATTTCAAAATAGCATATGCAGTCTGAATTGGATTTTTGAAATTCAAATACCCTCTTTTGTCATTTAGTAATTTTAAGGGTATTTTAGTGTCTTTTTCTCAATTATGTTTTATGTTATTTATATTATTTTGATTATGACTCTCTGTCAGACAAACATTATTGGGTGTTAGTCTTTTCAAAACATTTTGTCTTGTGAATCGAATTTGAAACTTGGAGACATTCTCTCTTATGAGTGGAAAAATTATAGTTGGGTTCTGTAACCCAACTAACGCTCAAGCATCTTTAATTTTTCTTACATGTACAGCATATGCCATATGATATGGTATGTGATTTTTGACCCAAACAAAAAAAAAAGAAAAAATTATTGTCTTATTTTCATATTCCCTCTCCTCCCTCGTAATAACTTTTCTTTTCTCTGTTAGTTGTCAAATTACAATTTATCGTAGCAGAAAAAGAGAAAATGTCAAAGAGTAATCACAAGAAAACAGCAGACATCTCATTCATATTATTTATTTATTTACATACTTACTTCTACATGGAAGCATCTTACATCATTTTTCTTGGTGAATAACATCAAACATCTTATTGTTTGACCCATTCCACGAACTTAGCTAAATTCTCGAATGAGATACCCCCATCTGTTAAGTTATTGCTGATAATCTTCTTAAGCTTCATGGACCTTTCCCTTAAGCTTTCATCTTCAAGCAACATGTCCACTTTTCTCTTGATTTCATGGCGAGAGATCAGTCCTTGATCATCAAAATCAAATCCCAGTCCAACTTTCCAAGCATCACAAACACACGTCTTGTCAAAAAAATGGTCACCAAAGTATGGCCAACACAGAAAAGGCACACCATTGATCAAACCTTCCATGACAGAAATCCAACCACAATGACTAACAAAACAAGCTATTGCAGGGTGGCTCAAAACATCATGTTGAGGTGCCCAGTTAACAATTTTCCCGTTTTTGCCTTCAAACCCATCTGGGTATGTCAATTTTGAGTCTTTACCTT